GAAGAGGGGCTGCTGGTTATTCCCCAATATTTAGTATTTTCTTGTCCCACAGTAATAGAACCTCCAAATTTCATTTGAGTACATGGGTGTTTGGTACAAAGACTGCATTTCCAGCCTCTGTTGTAGCTGGGTTGGCCATAGGATTAAATTCTGGCCCATGGGACATAAGTGGAAGCTGGATATGCTACTTCCAGGAAATGTCTTAGAAGGGTAGAGTATGCCTTCATCACGTCCTCGGTGCGCGGTTTCCCTGACTGAGTGGGGACGTGGTGGCTGCAGCCCTCTTGGACTACCAGGTGGGAACTGCACACTGAAGATGGCAGAGCAGGAGCCTGAGCCCTAACATTATGGAGCCACCGCTCCAGCCCTGGACTGTATTTACATGAGGAGGAAATCAATTTGTTTTAACTTATTTATATGTGTTTTTTGATATGCAGTCATGGTATGGCTGTGATAGGTTTAGTGACTCTTCTAGCTGGCTTATCAAAGGCATCCCACTTTATTTTTACATGAGCCTTTCAGGTGACAATAGTTGAGTGACAGGGAGGAGATCAAGGTGGAAGATACTGGCAATGCTACATTATCTGGAAATGCTTCTCAAGAGGTGCTGTCACTTGGGTACTAAGAATGCAAGAATGCAGCAGGCATAATGTTTTTTCCTTTATCTTATAACTGTAGAGCTGTAATAAGAAATACCTGCTCTAGGAAAAAAAGACAATTAAGTCTGGGTTTGAAGTTCCTAAAGCCTTACCCACCTTACATTCCTGCTATCAAGAGTTCTATTCTTGAAAGTTGCTGAGAGTATATCTTAAGCATTCTCATTACACACATACACACACACACACAATTTAACTGTTAACTATGTGAGGTGATGGATGCAGTAATTATATTGATCTTGGAAATCATTCCACAATGTATATGTATATAAAATCAGCACATTGTATACTTTAAATATATACAATTATATTTGTCAAGAGTTATATCCAGTTTTCAGCCTCATGTAGCTATTTTATTTTATTTTATTTGTTTTAGGGGTTTTTTTTAAGGGAAAAAAGTTCTACAAACCTTTAATCAGTAAATGGGTAAAGAATACCAAAAAGTCATGTAAAGCTTTTAAAAAAAAAAAAAAAAAAGAAATAGGCAAGAAATATACTAAAACAGGTTTAGTTTCAACAAATAGTAAAGGAACAATTAAAATAACATCATTGTCACAATCAGATTAATACATATTAAAAATATTGGTAATATCAAGTATTGGCAACTCTGAAAGGAACTGGGTATTCATAGACTCTTTTTCTTCATCTTAAAGCAGTCCCTTTAGCATATTTTGCAGTGCTGGTTTGGTGGAGGTGTATTCTTTCAGCCTTCTTTTGTCTGGGAAACTCCTTATTTCACCTTCCATTTTAATTGAGAGCCTTGCTGGGTAGAGCAGTCTTGGTTGCAGGCCTTTGCTTTTTAATACTTGGAATATTTCTTGCCATTCCCTTCTGGCAGTGTTTCTGTTGAGAAGTCAGCTGCTAGCCATAGTGGGGCTCCCTTATATATTATTACCTCTTTCCCGTTTGCTTGCTTTAGGATTCTCTGTTTATCTTTGATATTTCCATTTTAATGATGATGTGTCTTGGAGTGGGCCTCACTGGGTTCCTCTTGAATAGGACCCTCTGTGCTTCCTGGACTTGTGTGACTTTTTCTCTCCTCCTGTTAGGGAAGTTTTCCATCATTACTTTTTCAAAGAGGTTCTCTATCCCTTCCTCATCCTCTTCGCCTTCTGGTATCCCTATTATACGGATACTATTACATTTCAGGTTGTCCTGCATTTCTCTCAATGCCTCTTCATCCTTTTTGAGTCTTTTTTCATTTTCTTGCTCTTTCTGGGAGTTTTTTTCTACCTTGTCCTCCAGCTCACAGATTCGATCCTTGGCTTCATCTAGCCTGCTTTTGATGCCTTCTGTTGCGTTCTTCAATTCAGAAATGGTATTCTTCATTTCCTCTTGTCTCTTATTGATAGTTTCTATGTCCTTTTTCATGCTGATATAGTTTGCAGTAAGTTCCTTGTAGTTTCCCTGTAGTTTTTGGTAATTCTCTCTGAGCTCACTGAGCTCATTGAGCTTCCTTAGAACCATTGTTTGGAACTCAGATGATAGTTTACTTGCCTCTATTTCATTTAGTTCTCTTTGTTGGGATTCCTCCTTTCCTTTTGAATGCACATATTTCTTTGTCTTCCCATTATTTGTGAGACTCTTCTCTTTTGCTTCTGCTTCTTAAGTTGATCTGTCTTGATTTCCTGACTTTGTGGTGTGAACTTCTGTGGTAGGAGATGGCTGTTTTTACTTTCTGGATCTGCCTCTAGTGATGTCAGATGTTGTCCCTGTCTGAGCTTAGGCAGTCTGTTCAAGACTTCCAGGAATCTGCTGTCTGTGGCTGTCTCCTTCAGCTGTTAATCTATTCACTCTCCCATATAGCTATTTTAAATACAAGATTTATGTGTATATGTGTTATTAAAGTAAATTAATGCTTTCCAGCCAGATTCTAATAGCCATACCAATAGTTTAAATATTTAAAATATCATAACAGAAATTATATATTTGTACATAGAAAGGCTGCCCAGGTTAACCATGTATCTATCTATATGTCTGTTTGCCTGTCTGCCTGTCTATCCACATGCACATTTATATGCTGTATTTATAGCAATTTAATATTAGCATTGGTTACTTGAGTCACTGAGAAATTTTTTAGTCTCTGAACAATTTTTAAAAAGAGAAAGTGAATTTTGACTTTACAAATCTGATTGGTAGGAAAAAAATTCATTCAAAACATCAGGTCCATGTGTAGGATATAATAATAAAAATTGTCCATGTGGATATTTTGGCAAGTATTGTGCCCTTCAAGACGTGGACTAGGTGTGTGGCTTCTGGCTTATAGTATTAGAAAATGTCGCTACATAAGTGAGTATCACTCTATTAGAACTTGGTAGGCTTTGCTCTTCTGAGGAAAGTTTTGTTTCCTTTCTCAGTCTGGCTTTGCCTTTGGAGTTCCTGATTTGCATTCATGATGGAGTTCTCAAGCTTTTAGAGACTCTTGCAGGTTCTATGCAGGTTTTCAGCTCCTGGAGGGTTTCAGTGGGGACGCCCTTTGCTCCTTAAATTTGTCATAGTATGCAATGCCCTTTTGGCACTGCTACAGGTCAGCACTATGTGTTTTGTGTTAGGTAGATCCCCTGAGCAATGACAGGAATGTAAATCAACACCGAGTTCTCTAAGTTTATAAAGAAGGGGTAATGGTAAAATCCTTTTTGGAGAGGGAGAGGGAAAATATTCTACTCTAAATAGTACAGAAGTTTAAATAACTAAAAAATCTCTAATATTCAATATGATACTAAATCAAATGTTAAACTTTCAGGGAGAAGCATCAGGAATGGTGGGATGATAAACTGTTGATGTAGCATATTCACTCATATGTTTAAAAATACTTATTTATGGCTTACCATGTGCCATAAACCTTTCTAGACAGCTGAGTCTGTGGTGAAGACAATAGGCCATGTTCCTGCCCAGATGGGGCTCATATTCTAGTGGGGAAGACAGGCAATAAATAAGAACAAATTCTGGTGATAAAATGTGATAAAATACTGTGAAGAGAAATAAAAATATTGACCACTAGATGGAGCTCATTGCTTTCTTCATTTCTTTCAATTACCAATCCACTCCAAAAGAGAGATGCTGTGAGCATGATACACTATTAAAGTTGTGTTTTGGGGCCAGGTGTTGGACGCTCTCCCTTTTCCAATCTCCTCCTCCCAACTTAATTTCTTTTTTTCCTACTAATTGACTGATAAAGGGAATATAGTTAAGACATACTAATGAGGCCTCTGAGATATCGTGTGGTACGGGGAATTGATTAACTCCTTCCTAAATCAGAAATCTTCTCCCCTTAGTTTGTTGGGTATTTAGTTTTCTGTACTTATTTGTTTAATCTCTGTATTCACCATAGAATATTTCCTTAAGAGAGGGACTACAACTGTGTTCCCACTCCTTGGCAGAGTATGTGGTAGATCCTCAACCAGTATTTTTTGAATGAATGATCCCTATAGTCTGAGCAATTGCTGCTCACCCCTTTGCACCATGCCCACCCTCCCCGCCAGCTCATTCAATTCTCTAGGGACTCTGTTTTGAAGTTAGGGGGGAAAAATCTCCATAATAAAAACTGGGTAAGCTCGCCTGTCTCCTGTTCTGTGAAATCCTGTCTGTCAAAGAACTCTCGGTGGGGAGGGGGGGAGGGGTAGTGTGTGTGTGTGTGTGTGTGTGTGTGTGTGTGTGTGTGTGTGTACTAAGTATATTATGTGGTACGCTGAGTTCTGGGCCATAATTTTTCCTCTTTCTATTTGGATAAAAGCCTAACACATATAGTGGACATATTTTTAGTGCTCAGTGGAACTTAATAATGGGCACATGCTTTTGTCAGGGCTAACTGTTTAAAGAAGGGTCTTGAATCTTCTGCAATAAGTAAAAGGAACATCATAAAAACTGCAATGGAGTTGGAATCTAAGGAGATTCATGCATCATGATTGATTTCATAATCTCTTGGTCCAAGAATGGTTTTCCAGCATAAAGAGCCTGTACATGTTTTGTTAGATTTCTATCATAAGTATTTCATTTTTTTTAAAAAAACAGCCATTGTAAGTGATAGTGGTTTATAAATTTTGGTTTCCAATTGGTCATTGCTTTTATATAGAAATACAGTTGAAAATTGGTTTTTGTGTGTTGATCTTACAACTTTGTTAAACTCACTTATGTGTTCCAAGAGGTTTTTATTTTTTATTTTTAGATTCCCTGGTATTTTTCTATATGGATAATCATAATGCCTGTGAATAAAGACAGCTTTATTTTATCTTTTCTGATCTATATGCCTTTATTCTACTTCCCCCCTTCCCCGACCCCAGCCCATATTGTACTAGACCTGTTAGTGTATTGTTTAACAGGAATGGAGAGACTAGACATTCTTTCTTTGTTCTGGAGTTAAGGGCAAAGCACTCAGTTTTTCATCATTAAATATATTAGGTGAAGGGTTTTTTGTAGATTCCTTTTGTCAACTTAAAGAGGCCACTTTTTCTCAAGTGCAGTGATATTTTTCCAAATTCTAAGACTGCTTGAGTTATGCCTTCAGTAAAGAGTGAACAAGAAAGCTCTATTCCTTAAGTTTTTAGCTTAAGACACATATTTTCCTTCTATTCATGTTATTCTGGAGATTCTCTATTTCTTTACGAAGTTGTGCGCTCTCCTGATGGAATCCTTCCTGTAGTAACCGGGCTTGTTCCTAAAAAGCACAAAAAGTGAATAAAGTATAGCATTAAGCAAATCTCTAACTTCTATCTATTTTCCACATTCATAGATTTTTTTTTGGTATTTAATTTTTTCTTGAACTTTTCTCCTTCATTAATTTTTATTATGCTTTCCCTTGGGCATCCTAGCCTTGTGATTACTTTTCCTGAGCCTCCTTCAGCTAGGAAAGATTTTTGGTTTATACCTTCTGATATATTGATAAACTTAGATCACAAGACTTTGATCTTTTATACCATTAATTCTGTATATCATTTGTGGGCCATCTTAATTATATGTTTGTTTTCAAGTTTTACCTATGCATTATAGACTTTTATACACACACACAGAGGCTCTTTTATATATACACATAAAACACATAAAAATTAAATTTCTCAAAATCAAATGAAGTGTCTGAATTTTAGATCAATGAATTTGATTTAAGCTTCACAGATTGGGGGGCAAAGGTAGCAAAATATAAATAAGGGAATCCAGGCTGGAAACTGTCCATACTGGATTTCTGCACGTCACTTACAGCACAGACTGGGAGTAGAGCAGAGAAACAGTCAGGAGTAGCAGACTGACACAGGTGTGAGAGTTAAGTGGTCTTTCTGCTCATAGGTTCTCTTAGAACTAAAGTTACACCACATGTGACAGAAAAACAGTCATTGTGGATTCCTCTGACTGGTGAAGGTGATTCAAATATCTTACCAAGCTCTGTGACCCTATAAAATTTATTCAATCTTTTCTGAACCCTTGTTTCTTCTCCTAAGTAATGGGACATAGCAGTTCTTGCTTTGTATAATGTAAAGCAAAAGATATAGATATGGCATTTTTTATAATGCCCAGCATATAAGAGCTACCGCTGATTAAAGCACATACTGGTAAACAACTAGATTGATATAAATTCAAATATAATTTTTAATAACCAGACATAGGAAGCACCAGGTCAGGCAAACAGATAGGGATTGAAAAGTAAAAGTGAGTAAGCAAGGTCCTTCTGGGCTTCATGGTCTAACAGCTACACAAAGAGATCTGGTAGAGAAAACAAAAAGAGAAACCTCAAGGTGATGCAATTCAGTACCTGAAGTTTAAGAGTGAGAGCTCTCTCTTGTTCTGCCATCACCTGGGCCCTCTCCTTCTCGATCTTCTCAGTCAGTTGTTTCACGTGTTCCTGATGACTCTTTTCTTTCTGCTCCATCATCTGCTGATTCTTTTTCTGCATTTCCTCCAACATTTTTTTTGCAGCCTCTGAAGTTTCAGCTTTAACACGTTGCTCTGTCAGGAGGAAAGGAAGAGGAAAGTTCATGTGGGTGACCACGTTGCTTTTTCTTCTTTGTACCCTTACCTGTCGCTGTTGCTACTAACTGCATATGCTGTGGTCAGAGCTTGCTTCAGCTAGTAAGAGGCATCTTTGCTCATTTGCTATTGTTTAAGGACCCCAGGTTCACCCAGCCAAATGATTTGAACTTTTAAAAGCTTTTGAGGCTATCTAGTCTCTTGCTCCTCACCTTCAATCTCCTTTTCCTTCTCTGTGAGAGTCTGGTCTGTCTGTAGAATTGTGTCAGTCACAGCCTCCATGGACGCCAAGTATGTCTGAAGAATTTCTTCACTCTAAGACCCAGAGAAAATGGAGCTAGTAATAGGAAATAGTTATTCCTGTTTGCCTACCATCTTTTCCTCTGGGAATTGCTTCTCTTGGCCCTGTTGTGTCTGGGGGTCAAGATGCCCTGTCACAGGGTGAGCACATGCTCCAGCTTGGCCAACGAAGGTGCTCTACAAAGCAGAATCCTTTATAAGAGATTGATAAATATGGATGGAGAGTCTCTGTTTTTTGAGTGAGGGCTCTAATTTTGGGGCTGTTGGTGCTGCGGTCCCACATGGGGTGAGCTTGCTGGGGAATGAAGCCGTCATGGAGAAAGCAAATCCAAGGAAAGGAAGTGGAGGGAGAATGAAGGGAGGGAAGTGTGGGGTTAGGGGGAGCAACAGGCAGAGAGATAAATGTTGGTTACCTGTAGTCCCTTCCCAGGTTCCTGGTGGTACTTTTTCTTCAGCTCTCTCATCTTCTGGATAAAGAGATGATATCCTCCTGGTTTAGAATAAATCCCCTGTTTTATATCTTTTTCCAGAGGATCGAAGATATCCTTAAGTAAAGCTGAGCAACGATCTGATGATGCTTTCATATTCTGTTTAGAAAATTCATCTTGCTTTTTTTCTAGTTGGGCCTTTAATGTGAAAATAGGAAGTAAAAAGAATAGAAAGAAGATGTTAGCTTGACCTCAGAATTTTTGGAAAAGCTTCTCAAAAAATAAAGTCTGTGGCTCCTATATAAACTCACAGGACCACATCCTTCCTCCTGATCCTGTGTTCCTATTAAAGTCCCTTTCTCCTTGGAGGTAAAGTTTATGGCAGAGATCACTAGCTTTATGTTAGCATTTATGCTTCCCATCTGCTGATCATCGTGGGCCATAGCCTTTTTTACTGCAGCTGAGTTCTTGATCTGGGCCAAGGCCAGGACTGCGTTCTCCATGCAGGGCAGGTTCCCGCTGCTGATGGCATTGGCACAGGTCAGCACTAGGATCTCTAGTCCTACAAATATACCTTTAGAAATAAACTTCTGCTTTTCAAATTGGACCAATGATTGCATATGGAATAAGTGTGGCTCAATATGACCCTGCTCAAGAGAACTGAGACTACATATTTATTTGCTTTTGGCTGTAACATTAAATCAGTCTGATATCAGCAAGTATGTAATTTGACTAGGAGCTTTGACTGTTACCTATATGCATTTAATTAAATTATGAGAGAATATTAGTTTATGAATAAAAAAATGTTTCAAAACTTTGAGTCAATCAATAAAATTGGTTCTTATTATAATAATAACAATAGTGTTTTTTTAAATCATTTTACACTCTAGTAAGAATTCCTTCTCATTTTATTTTTTAGTAGTATTTCACTTTCTGAAACCTTAATCCATATAAACATAAGAAAAAAATTACCGCTAATTCCTTTTGGAATAAATGGTCCACGTCCTTGAAGGAACTCTTCATGAAGACTTCGATGGCCTCTTTCTCACTGTCCCTGTGCAGGTCCAGCAGCTCCTGGAGGGTTTCCGTGGGCAGCTGCAGCTTCTGGCCCATCTGCTGGTCGTAGTGGGCGATGGCCTTTTCCACCGCGGCGGAGTTCTCTATCTGGGCCAAGGCCAGGACTGCGTTCTCCATGCAGGGCAGATCCCCACTGCTGATGGCATTGACGTAGGTCAGTACCAGGTTCTCCAGTCCTACAAAAGAGAACAACTGATAATGTTTATTGTAGTTGGGGTGAGGAAGCACTCTATTCTGTGTAAATCTGATGATTTACCACTCGTTTGCCTCACAGTATCAGTGTCCTCATCATCACCTGGAAGCTTGCTAGAAATGCTGACTCTTAGCCTCGGCTCCAGATCAACTGAATTAGACCCTCCTCTGGGAAGATCCTTGGGTAATATGAATACATATCTAAGAGTGAGAACCTCTGTTTTGGATACCATAGTCCTGTGCTTGTTGACAGGAAATGTACGTCTCTCATTTATGTCTCTATCATCAGTTGTGGTCCATGGTAAACAATTGGAAAATTATTATTTGAGAAACAATTAAAAAGGAGTCCTTCATGTTATTTACTCTAACAGAACACTGTCCAAGAGAGCTTTCTGTGATGATGGGCGTGTTCTACACCTGCTATCTGGTAGTGTAACCACTAGCCCTTTGTAGATATGAGCCCTTGAAATATAGCTGAGTAATCAGAACTTTTAATTTTCTTTAATTTTAATTAGTCTATATTTAAATTTAGATAACCCCACTTGTCCCGTAGCTACCTTAGTGGACAGTACAGGTCCATTTTACTAGGGCAATTTTAAGCAATAGCTATTTTCACTTTGTCCTTCCTTTCTTTTCTCACCCAAGAAATTTGACTAATAAAATCTGTTAGAGCCCTAGCTGGTGTGGCTCAGTGGATTGAATACCAGCCTGCAAACCAAAGGGTTGCTGGTTCAATTCCCAGTGTAGGGCACATGCCTGGGTTGCAGGCCAGGTCCCCAGCAGGGCGGTGCAAGAGGCAACCACACATTAATGTCTCTCTCCCTCTCTTTCTTCTTCCCTTCCCCTCTCTAAAAATAAATAAATCCTAAAAAAAAAAAGAAATAAAACATTTAAAAAAATCTATTAGAAATGTTGTGTCATCTAGAAATGGACCGCAGATATAGTAGTAGATTCTCATTTTTCAAAGCTGACACTAGGTGGGTATTATTTCACCTTCCTGTAGTCCTAATAGTGAGAGTAAAGACTGGGAAGAGGACTCACGAGGTCCATTGACATTGATGCCTCCTGGGAGCGTTTTAACTTTGGAACTGTTGAAAATGTAGGAGCAGAAGACTTTAGCTTGTTGTACAAATTCGGAGTCCAGCTCATCATCATGCAGGGTCTCAAGCTGGCCTAGCTTCTTCCGGTGAGTGGGCCGGTCAAAGACAAAACATTTCTTTTTTGGGAAGAACTTCCGGATACAGAGTCGGGGAAGATTAAAATCTTTATCTTTTTGACTGGTACCTGGAAAAAGACAAAAAAGTACTTAATACAGGGGCTTGGAAACTTTTTCTGTAAAGGACCAAACTAAATATATTAGGTTTTGAAAGTCAGATGGTCTCTCTTCCAAATATTTAATTCTGCTATTAGAGCATGAAAGCAGCCAGACAATCTACAAATGATTAGGCATAGCATCATTCCAATAAAACTTATGTATGAGACAGCTGGCAGGCTGTATTGTCAATCATTTGCCAGTAACCATAGTTTGCCAACCACTGGACTAGTGCACTGTTTATGCTTTAATCTATTTTCTTTTTTTAAGGTATATTTTGTTGATTATGCTATTACACTTCTCCCCGTTTTTTTCTCTCTTTATCCCCTTCTGCCGTACATATCCTCCCAGAATTCTCCCCTGCCTTAGTTCATGTCCATGGGTCATACATATAAGTTCTTTGGCTTCTCCATTTCCTATGCTAATTCCTAAGTTCCCCCTGTTTATTCTGTGCCTACCAATTAATGCTTCTTATTCCCTGTACCATTTTCCCCCATACTCCCCCACCCACTGATAACCCTCCATGTGACCTCCATTTCTGTGATACTGTTCCTGTTCTAATTGTTTGCTTAGTTTGTTTTTGTTTTTATTTTTAGGTTCAGTTGTTGATAGTTGTGAGTTTGTTGTCATTTTACTGTTCATAGTTTCGATCTTCTTTGTCTTAGGTATATCCCTTTAACATTTCATATAATAAGGGCTTGATGATGATGAACTCTTTTAACTCTACCTTCTCTGGGAAGCACTTTATCTGCCCTTTCATTCTAAATGATAACTTTGCTGGATAGAGTAATCTTGAAAGTAGGTCCTTCCTTTTCATGACTTTGAATATTTCTTTCCAGTCCCTTTTTTCCTATAATGTTTCTTTTGCGAAATCAGCTGATAGCCTTATGGGAACTCCTTTGTAGGTAACTGTCTCCTTTTCTCTTGCTGCTTTTAAGATTGTCTCCTATCTTTAATCTTGGGTAATATAATCATGATGAGCTTTGGTTTCTCCTTGATACAATTTCTCCTTGGATACAATTTCTTTTGGACTCTCTGAGCTTCCTCGACTTGCATGTCTATTTCCTTTGCCAGACTGGGGAACTTTTCCTTCATTATTTTTTCAAATAAGTTTTCAATTTCTAGCTCTTCTCTTCTCCTTCTGGCACCCCTATGATTCGGATGTTGGAATGTTTAAAGTTGTCCCTGAGGTTCCTAAGCCTGTCTTGATTTTTTGGAATTCTTGTTTCTTCATTCTGGTCCAGTTGAATGTTTATTTCTTCCCTTTGTTTGAAATTGTTGATTTGAGTTCTGGTTTCCTTCCCTTCACTCTTGGTTCCTTGTATATTTTGCTTTATTTTACTTTGTATAGCCTTCAGTTCTTCCTTTATTTTGTGACTGTACTCAATCACTTCTGTGAGCATTCTTACTACCAGTGTTTTGAACTCTGCATCTTATAGGTTGGCTATCTCCTCATCACTTAGTTTTTTTTCTGGAGTTTTGATCTGTTCTTTCATTTGGGCCATATTTCTTTGTCTTGGCAGACCTGTTACATTGTAAGGAGTGGAGCCTTAGGTATTCATCAGGACAGGGAAACTCACTTCTCTGTGTTGGAGCACTGTCTGTGGGGGAGGCATTAGAGAAGGAACAATGCTGCTTGCTTGTCTCTCGCCCATATTCAGTCACTTCCCTCGTTTCCCACAAATGGATTGTGCCCTTTCAGGTGTTGACTCCTGGGTAGGTGGGCTTGTATACATTCTAGGATTCTGGGGGCCCGTCAAATGGAGTCTCCTGTGAGACTGGCAGTTTTTCCCACCAGAGCAACAGCCATAGATTTTTACAGCCAGAGGTTTTGAGGCTTTAGTTTCCGGCCCTGGAATCCTGGGTTGCTCAGTCTGTCTCATTCCCCAGTTGTTCCTTCTGGATGATCTGTACACGTTTGTGTGATATCCCAGTCAGCCAGCCACCGCCTTGCCCTCTGTGGTCTGCCAGATGTCACCTTATCACGTGTCCTCACCACCCTGGCTTCCTGTCTCCACCCCCACCACCAGTCTGGATGAATGTTTCTTTAACGCCTTGGTTGTTGGACTTCCATATAATTTGATTTTCTGGCAGTTCTGATTGTTTTTTTAAAATTGGTGTTATCCTTCTTTTGGTTGTGTGAGGAAGTGAAGCATATCTACCTACACCTCCATCTTGGCCAGAGGCCTAAACTATTTTCTTTAAATAAATGCCCATTCTACTTAGTATTCATTGGCTAATTACAGCATCACAAGCTCTAAGCAGGGAAATAAAATTAACCTGATCACAGCACAGGGAGAGCTGAAAGAAAAAGAAACTTGTTCTTAGAACAGGGGAGAAGACAATTCAGAGTCAAATCTACTAATCCAGATATTAAACAAGCAAGCATTAATTTTTAGTAAAAGCTAGCTGAGAAATAGAAACTAAATGCAATAAAACATTTTTTAAAAGCAATAGTTTCTAATGTCTTGTCATTCCCAATTACCAATTCTAAGTTCCGTTTACCTTTCTTAAGTTTGAGCGAATTCTCCATGTACTCATCTGCTGAGATGGCTTGTCCATCTGCTTCTAAGTCTAGGGAAAAATCCCTCAGTGTCCACACAAAATCTGGAAAGAAGCTTACAAAGTTAGTAGAATCCTCAACTTCATTTGCATCCCGTGAAGATTTCGCCCTTATTTTATCTGTCAGCTCAGTCACATAGCTGAGTAAAAAACTAAGGAAAACTGGTGTAAAAGAACCATGCCCCTCATCCCATCCCATATTTGTCCCATATATTCAAAACCTTTGTTTCTAACCTAAGTGTCAATTCTTCAGTAGGCACATAGAATCTTTCTTATGCCCTTGAATTATTTTTTATACTTTCTCTTTCTGTGCTTGAGTCACCAGAATTCACATTCAGGTAGCTTGTTTTTTAACAGGTCTCCCTCTGAATTCGATGCTTTCCTTGACTACAGAAAGGATACTGCAGTTGGTCCATAGCCTGCTGGTTTATGGTCCCCATGCTGTTGTACACAAAGGTGCTGCTTAGCAGTATTGCCAGGGCAAAGATCCAGGAGTCATTCTGGTTGTCACCCTAGAAATCAGAACACAGTTGGGCCAGGATTATGTTTCATTCTCATGGTACTTTCCAGATCAGCAGTATAAAAGGATGCTCATTTAATGAGTGTTTTGTTTTATTTTTTTTTAGATTAATGACCTATAAGAGGAAACCAAATCCAAGCAAAAATGGTTGTTAATAGCACTCGAACTTTGAATAGTTTTCTCATTACTGTTTTTGGTTTACACTAATTTCCACGAGGTCCTCTTATGAACATTAGCAGATAATTACAAAACAAATAGTCAAGGTTGGTAGGTGTTCTAGGCCTTAAATATAATTTTTATTGAATTTTCTCCATTTTACAGCAAAATTGACATGTAACAGCAATAATACTTATAGCTATTTTATCAAGCAATTATTATGTACCTAACGCTTTCCATTCTTATTAAATATTCAAATATTCAAAACAATATTATGAGACAAAAATAGATTGTTTACATCTGTTTTATAGATGAGAAATCTGAGGTTAGAAAAGGTGAAATAATTTGTTAAGACCACTGTGTTAATGACAAAGTTTAAGTTTAAACCACAGTATAGAACTTCCGAACATAAATCTTTACTAAAGCTCTCTGCAGGGTAAGACTCATGGCATTGAGTTTTTAATACTATCTTTATGCATCTGGGTCAGTTGGCTTAGCTTATAGCCTGTTGTTAATAACTAGACCACTATCTATTGACCACTATATGCTGCTTCTAGGATTCTGCCTTATACATATTCTTCTGACCCCTGATTGCAAACTTGGTCTTGTAGAACATAAACAGAAATGAAAAAAAACCCATATTTTGGCTCAGTGCAAACTCTTACCTGAATAAAAGTTAAATAGTGTAGAGAACAACCAAAGATGAGGGGCTTGTCCTCAAACTGAATCTTTAATACTTACCTTCTCTACATCTCCCAGGCCCTCAGTGTCAAGCAGAACTAAGGTGTGGTTTGGCTTTTCAGGATGAGGCACACACCACATCCAGATTCCCTTGGTGTGAGACTGCACCGTGGAGCCCAGAGAAAAGCCTGCAAGTGGGAGAAGAGATAGGAGGGAGTGGAGTTTTAATAACAGATGTGTCTGGAAATTGAGATAAAAGTTAACATATTGAAGGTAAAGAGAGAGAACCAAAACCACAACCAGTATGTATCTTAATCTTACTTATAATTAGAGAAATAGGGAAATTTGAATTTCCAGTAAATGAAAACATTCAACACTTTTTATGATTAAAAGAAAACAAACCCAGGACTAGAAGGAAACTAACTCAATGTAATGAAGGACATGTGTGAAAAATGTTCAGCCAACATCACACTCAATGGTGAAATACAGAAAGCTTTCCTTCTATAAAAATTAACCAAAGTAGTTCAAAGATCTACAAATAAGAGCTAAAACTATAAAACTCCTAGAAGAAAACATAGCAGAAAAACTTCATGGTATTGGATTTGCCAATGATTTCTTGGACATGACACCAAAAGTATAAACAACAAAAAAAAGTAGGTAAGTTGGACTTCAAAATTAAAACTTTTGTGGATCAACAGAGTTTAATAGGTATCCTATAGAATGAAGAAAAATATTTCTTAGTCATGAATCTGTTAAGGAATTGATAAGAGAATATATAAAGAAGTCCTACCATGCAACCCTAGAAAACAAACAACCCAATTAAAAAAATGAGCAAAGGACTTGAATAGAGATTCCTCAAAGGAAAATATATAAATAACCAATACACACTTAAAAAGTTGATTAACATCACTAGTCATTAGGGAAATACAAATCAAAACCACAATGAGATACTATTTCACATCCATTAGAATGGCCCTATCAAAACACAAAGTAATGTATTGGTGAGAATGTGGAGAAATTAGAATTCTGTGCATTTCTGGGAGAAGTGTAAAATGCCTTAGTTGCCATGGAAAATGATATGGTGATTTCTTAAAATATTATAGCATATGACTTGTAGGAAAGGAATAAGAATTTATGCTTTTAAAAGGAGAAATTAAGACAAAGTGGGAAGAGACAGTGAGTTGACTCTTTCAGATCAGAATAAGGATAAGAGCGTAACTGTAGAATGAATAAGATCGGGCGCGTTCAGGGTGGTATGGCCGTAGACCATAACTATAGATTGAAAGCTAACTTTCAGTATTCCTTCCCATCTCCAACTTTCTCTCCTTGCAACACCATACTCAATGCTGGGAGTGTGGGTGGACAGAAGGGATCTGCCAGAGCTTTGCTGGTGTCCCTCACCTTTTTTCTTTCCAGCCAGCTTGTTCATCAGGTAGGATTTGCCAGTGCGGTAGAGACCCACAATGGCTACCACGACAAGAGGCTGGTTAATGGCAGACAGGATCTTCAAAGCCTCTGGATTAACCACTAGTTGCTCCTTAGTGTTCTCAATGAGGCACACTGGGTCTGGCATGTGGGTATTTGAGGCCATGTCCAATATGTCACCTTATCTGCAAGCAAGAAGATGGGATGCATTAGGATTTCCAGTCTAAGTAGATCAAGAACTTTCAGCAGGTCATTTTGCATTCAGACAGCGGAGTCATAGAATTCCCCAACATGGTCAAAAGTTTTATGTGAACAGTGGGATAGATGAGGGGAAGATCGGTATTATTTTAGAAAGTTACAGAAGTGTAATCAAAGTAGTCCACTGACAAATATTGATATGATAGTGATATCAACATTTAACCACTTTCATGAACAAAATCTTTAATTTTGTATGGAAAACTTTCTTTTTGGATTTTCATTAAAGTTTTTAAACTGGACATTAAATGTAAAGTAGAATAAGGTGTAGAGGGTATTTTATATCTTGGCTATAAGTAAGACATTTAATATTGATATATTTATTAATCAATTCTATTATGAATAAAGATGTGAATAAATGTTTCATCATTTGATGTCTATCCTTTGGATAATTTTCACAGATTTTAAATTTTTTTCTATTTATTTTTCTGAAATGAGTGTTCATATAACTTTTTGCATTGTTATTCAGGAAGTGGAAACAGTATGACTTATGTTTGCACATTTTAAAAAAAATGTATGACCATATGAAACACAGGACTAGAGACCTGCCCAAAGCCTTGGTATGGGCTTGTGAAAGCAAGAGGTCTTGATAGTTCAACATCATTAGCTTCACAAAAAATTAGCCTCCAACTAAGTAGACAACTGTGAATGCTCAATGTTGCAGCACTACAAATACTGAATGTTGCTAAAAAACGATGTGTGTGTGTGTGTGTGTGTGTGTGTGTGTGTGTGTGTGTGTGTGTAAGGGAACAAAAGACTGAAATATAGATTAAAAGATCAGGAGGCAGATCAAGAGAGCTGGAGAAGAGGTTGTTCAAGGAAAATATACTTTCAGCCATACACTTCTGGGTGTCCTGTTTTGGTGTTTTCTCATTTGGTACAAGAGAAGGAGAAACAGGAAGAGGAGAGGAGGGGGAAAGGGAGGGGGAGATGGATGGTGAGAGAAAGAGGGAGGAAAAGCTGAAAGGAGAGAGACAGCTGTCCAACAAGTAGGTGATGGTTGAAGCTCAGCCAAGCCAAGGAATTCAGAAGCAGAATTTCCAGAAAGCAAGAACAAAATTGCTTGAGAGCACAGAGGGTCAGGCAAACAAAACATTGGCTTTAGTGATGATCACAGTAGTCTTTTAAAGAGAAAACTTTTTAGTAAAGTAGTGGGAGCAAGTTCTACTTGCAAGGGGTAAAAAGGGAATTGGCACAAAGGAATTGATCTAATGAACTTGAGGTATTTTTATTTTATTTTATTTTAAAAATATTTTATGTTTCAGTTACAGTTGACATTCAATATTATATTAGTTTCAGGTATACAGTATAGTGTTTAGAAATTTATATAACTTAAGAAGTGATCCCCTCAATAGGTTGAGAACCCACCAGCATTCATAATTATTACAGTATTATTGACTAAGTTCCCTATGCTTTACTTTACCTCCTTGTGACTTATAACTGCCAAATTTGTACTTCTTAATTCTTTCTCCTTTTTCGCCCAGCCCCCTCCCTTCCTTCCATCTAGTAACCAGAACCTGGGTTACTTCTAAGAGGAGCAATCTACTTTTAAACAAAGCTCATGTGTATGATTAAGTATGGTGTTTTTGTGAATCTTCATCTTTCACTCTGGGTTTTAGGGTTTTCTTTTTTCTCCCTTATCAGTGTCAGGTGGCTGTTTTACACGGCATCTTATTTACTATTCTTTCTTTCTCATGAAAATAACATATCTGCAGCCCTTTCAGTGTCTTAGTTGCAGTCAGATCAGAATTGAGCAGTTCCATCAAAGACAATGGTAAACTAACTGTGTCCTCAGCCAACACAGACAATGTTGGCAAAGAGAAAGATGGTCCTAATGCATTTCAAATTCAGTTTACGCCCATTTCTGCAGATGCCTAATTCCACACAAGCACAGAGGTGACACTCAGGGACATGCTACCACCTGATATCATTAGGATGTCATCTAACCTTACGCCCCACATTGGGCTCTGCTGCAGCCTATCTTCCTGCTGGTCGTTTTTTAGAAAATGACCTGACCCTTATAAATCCCTTCTCACCCTTGCCCTGAACTTATGCTGGGTTCCGTTTCTCAGACAACAAACTGCTTTAGAGGTGGAGAGAAAACTGCTTTAATGAGGAGATAAAGTTCTTACCTGTTTTTTAGAGGTGGACAGAAAACTGCTTTAATGAGGAAATAAAGTTCTTACCTGTTTTTTCTCCTCAGTTTAGGTTGGAGTGTCTTCTGTTTCTTGTGTGTCTTTCACTGGATGGTTGGACTTTTAATTCACCCATCTGACGTCATGAAGTTTTCTAAGCTCCCTGAAGACTTTTAATTAGAAGTAAAGCTTTTACAGTAATGTGAAACCGAAAGTGCTGAGTACAAAGCAACAGCTCACCAAACAAGGAATTCCTGGAAGCTGTGCAGATGGGAGGGTACATAGGTTTCACATGATTTCTCAGCTAGTTCATTTTGACAAAAGCTCCACTCTTGGTGGGAATGGCGAGTAAGATGAGGCTTCCATTTCCCTCATCTTTCAATCAGGGTAAGTTTTGTCACTGGGAGGGTCAGGTCACCCGTATTTCACATCCCCTCCAACACTGAGTTGCAGAGACTAAATTCCTGGATTGTGTAACCAGAGGCTGGGGCCTCCCAAACTCCACCCAACCCCACTCACAGAGTATAGGCTGTAGCTCATACATAGCAGGCTGAGATCACCTGGCCTGCTCACCCTCACTCTGGCTCACTTGTAGGATGGAGCTTCCAAGCTAAGAGAGATAAGTGGGGAAGACCAGAGGTTACCACCCCTGCCCAGGGAAGGAACAGTGGTTCAGAGATTTTTGTCCAGGGAGAGTCAGTCCATAAACAAAGAGATCAGCTTCAGAGTGTGAGGACTTGAAGAAACTTTATTTATAGCAAATTGACTTTACAAAAAATACCAAAGGAGGTTTTCAGGCAGGAAGCAAGTGACCCCAGATGGTAATACAAAATCATTTAGAAAAAACAAAGAATACCAGTTAGGGGATTATGTAATTATAAAACAATATAAATGCAGATTTCTTCTTCCTTCTCTTAACTGGTTTAAAAAACAATTGTATACAACAATAGGTATATAATTGTATTGCAGGACCTATAACATATGTAAATGTAATACATTTAACAATAACAGAATAAAGGAGGTAGGTGGATTCAAAGCTTATTGGAACAAAGATATGACACTTGATGTGAACTTGAACTCATAGGAATAAAAAGAACCAGAAATTGTAAGTAAGAAAGTTAATGCAACAAGCCCTATAAATTTATTTTTCCTCCTTCAGCTTCTTTAAAAGACATAAAATTATATAAATTAATAACTATCAAAATGTATTGCTGAGGTTGTTACTTATATATATGTAATTTGCAATACATATGTAAAAATAACACAAAAAGGAAGGAAGAGGGAATAGAGTTACAAGAATAACAAGAGTTCTGTATTTCACTGGAATGAATTTAGTGAAAATTTGAGGTATATTCTTTTTTAAATTTTGTTGAATTTATTGGGGTGACATTAGTTAATAAAATTATATAGGTTTCCAATATACAATTCTATAAACTGAGTATTGGACCTGTATATTGTTTTGTGTGTTCACTACCCAAAGTCAAGTCTCCTTCCATCACCATTTATACTCCCTTTACTCTCTTCTACCTCCCCCCTTCCCCTTTTTCCTCTGGTAATCACTATACTGTTATCTGTGTTTATGAGTTTGTTTTTGTTTGGCTTTGTCTCTTTATCTTTTTCATTCAGCCCCCTGATCCCCTTCCCTTCTAAGGACAAAGAGAGTATTATGCTAAGTGAAATATACCAGCCAGAGAAAGACAAGTACCAGATTACTTCACTTATATGTGGAATCTAATAAACAAAATAAACTAACAAACAAAATAGAAACAAATTCATAAGATACAGAGAGCAGACTGAGGTATATTCTTATAAACTATATATACACACATATACATACATACATGTATATATGTACGTATATATGTATGCATATGTGTGTGTGTGTGTGTGTGTGTGTGTGTGTGTGTGTATAGAGAGAGAGAGAGTGTCCAGAAAAAGTCCAACCAATGTTAATATAATGAGAGCAGTTTGCACTCATGGAACCTGGCAGCCAAGGAAAGTGGACTGGAATGCACATGTGTGAACAATGATGACATTGCTGTCCTAGTCAGTGGGGGCAGTAGACACCATTGAGTGAGCATGTGTACTGTTTGGCCATCACATTCAAAATGACTGAATGAACAGAGCAATGAATCTGCATCAGATTTTGAGTTAAGCTTAAGCATTCTTCTGTGGAAATTATTTGGATGATTCAGAAGGCTGCAGCTGTGGGCAACTGGTGATTGGCAGCTTCATCATGGCAATCACTATGATGCATGATGCATGCCCCCACTCATGCATCACCTCTTGTGTAGAGGTTTTTGGTGAAACATCACATCACCCAGGTGACTCAGACCCCCCACAGCCCAGATTTGGTGCCCTGCAACTACTGGCTTTTCCCAAAACTAAAATCACCTTTGAAAGAGGAGTGATTTTAGACCATTGATGAGATTCAGGAAAATACAATGGGGCAACTGATGGTGACTGGGAGAGCTGTGTGAGGTCCCAAGGTGACTTCTTTGAAGGAGCCTGAGAGGTCATTGTCCTATTACAATGTTTCTTATATCTTTTATCTTCTTCAATAAATATCTCTTTTTCATTTTACATGGCTGGATACTCTCTGGATAGACCATTGTATGTATATATATGTATACATATATGTATATATAAACGTGTATGTATTAAGGATAATATAGCTTTAGGATAATTTAAAATAAGGGCAAAATAAATCCAAATTAAGAAGAAGGAAAAATAAAGAATTCTATAAATGAATGTGGTAATATTAATGACATAAACAATAGGAAAAAAATCAATGAAAACAAAAGTGGTTCTTTGAAAAGATCAGCACAGTTGACAAACTTTGAGCTAAACGGAGAAAGTCTGGATTGGTTAAACTAAAGGAAAAACTCAAATAAAATCAGGAATGAAAAATAGGACATTACTATTGACATTACAGAAATAGAAAGGATTATGAGGCAATATTTTGAACAACTGTATGCTGACAAAGTAGTTTAAAAAATAGACAAACTCCTAGAAAGACACAGACTACTGAAACTGTCTCAGGAAAAAATAGCCCATCTGAATAGACTTGTAACAAATAAAATAACTTTAAACTGCCACCAGGAAAAGCTCAAGCCCCATGGCTTCACTGGTGATTTCTACAAGTCATCAAAGAAGAATTAATACCCATTTCTCACCAACATGGCCAAAAATAGAAAGGAAATTTACCCCAATTCCCTTAATGTTATTTTACCACATTACTATCTTTCTCTGCCTGGACTATCTGAGAGTTAGTTACAGACATAATGCCTTGATAATCCACTATGTATTTCCTAAAATATTATCTGGAAGAGTGACTACAGCTTCTCCATCTTTGCTTCTCCATTTCATAGTCTATTTCATCCTTATTTTGGCCATTTTTGGTGATGTCCACATAGACAGTCGGCTGTGTGGTTGTTCGAAGGACGTGTTTGTGATGAACAAGTTGTTTCACTGGACTTCATGAGCTGTTTTCCTGCTTCATTTCTGACCCCTAGTCCAATTTTTCCAATGACGTTTGATTCCGCATTATTTCTTACACTTGCATTCTAGTCACCAATTGTTATCAGCATGTCCTGTTTTGATGTGTGGTCACTTTCTTCTTGAATACTTGCATAAAAGCATTCAATTTCATTGCATGCAGTTCAGTAAAATAAAGAAGGGAGAGAGAGAAAAAAATAGGGAAATGCAGCACTAGTTTGCCACTGCTGTCCACTGTGCAGTGTGTGGGTCTACACCCCTCATGTGTTGTGGTTCTAAATTCTTTACAGGTGTTGTTAATTAAATTTAATTTATTCCCCAGCACACATGTATAAAGTAGGTATTATTATTTGTATTTCACACACTAGTAAGTACAGTTTAAAGATGTTTATAGGTTTTTTAATAGCAGTTCATTAGCCCCAAGACCCTGATAGTGGATGTGGGGTTTCCTTAGATGGTGAGTCAGTGTGTTAAAAGAGGACAATCAAATTAGGTTCATCCATGGCTCTGCATTTGCAAAAGTGGACTGAAATACTGGTTCTGCATGTCTCCATCTTATTCTCACTGCCTAAGACAGACTGATTATTCTTTCATAAATTAAAAGTCTGTGGCTCTTCTTTTTCTCACTAGAAAGGAATATCTTGGGTTGATTAAAGACAACTTAGAGAGTATTTTTATTGAACACATGCCAGCTGAAAGTGAAAGCAGAAACAAGCTCTTAGTTTCTTGGAAATGGACTAGATTTCAAGAGAACAGCTCTTTTCTGTTTAGTACAATGAATTCTGTGCTATTTTTGTGCCTTTTTTTACACAAGAATATTTTAATATGTTCCAGGGACTTTTTCTTTTAAATGCTGGGTATGAGGAAGCTGTATTTCCTTACTTTCCAGTGTATTTAGAGTTGCAGTCTCTAGAATACTAATGTTATTCTAAAAGATAGTCACAGATCAAAGTAATTTACATGCTAGCATGGTTACATTAAATTCATATGTGCACATGTGCTTAATGATTTCTCATGTCCAGACAGACTCTGAATTTCAGGTACGGGAAGTTTTTATATTAAGCCGTTTTTCAGATGAAGAAGTCCCTGAGGAGGTTCTGGGGTACTCAGCAGCAGGAATTCGTTTATTCCGTTGTGGTCGCTGAGTCTCATATACCATGGAGGCAGGACCAGAAGGTTAGAAAAACAGTCTGTGATATGAATGCATAGTGTATGCACTATGTACTTGGCACTGTGCCAGGTGCTCAGGGGTATATGAAGATTAATTATGCATAGTCATTGCTATAAAAACAACTTAATCTGGTGGGTGAGATAGACTTGCACCCGTATATGAAGAACAGAGGAATGAACTGGAGAGGGAAGGAGGAGCCCTGATAACTGAAATAGCTAGTCTCAAGATCTCAAATTGGAACATTTGAAATTTTACCCAGGAGAAATTTATTTTGATGTCAGTGATAGGAAATAGATGGAATTATTGTTTTTTTTTAAAATGGCCTGACAGTTGTTCTTATTCATATTTATATTTATTTCTTAACAATCTATTCTTTTCTGTTGTCTGTCTATAGTAGTAAACTCAGTACCACAGTTTAAATGACTATCATTTCTATTTTGTTTTAATGATATGACAAGCAATGTTGTCACAACACAATGATAGCCCAAGGAAGAAACCTTATGCAATCTTGGGAAATCAGGAAACAGCAGAGGGTAAGAAGGAAGAGAAGAATGCAAATAAAGGCCACCGAGGGAGCAGCCGGGGTGTTTGAGGTCTGTGTTCCGTGTGCAAATGTCCAGAGTGAAGAGAAAATACACAGCATGCAGGATTTCAAGCAGTTCATTCTAACCACAAGAGTCTCAAGCCCTACACTGCTGCAAAGAATTCTTAAGATGTGGAGCTGACCCTGTAGAATTTTTCTTCTAGTTCACCATCCTTATAAATGTGGAACAGGTATTTGGAGATTATTCCAGTTGAATTTCCAGTAGACTTTATATCTGAAAGTAAATTCGGGACCTAACTGAGAATTTCAGGGCCTAACTGAGAGGCCCAAAGGACAAGGTTAAGATGCACATTTGTCATTTCTGTTTCCTGCTGTAATAAGTAGAGTCTCTCTGTTGAAATGACTTACGGTATTTCGAGTTTGATCCTGTCATGGGAAGGTTCCCTTTCCATGTGTTTTTATTTTAGTTTTAATCTAATAATTGTATTTATTTATGTTTAAATAAGTAGTAATTTATACAAGATGTAAAAGGCACAGAAAAATACATAATGTATGGTTAGCTATCTTCTCATATCTAACCTCAACTATGCACATTCATTTCTTTTGTGATCATGGATACTATTTTATTTTATATTTTTCCAGATAGATTATCATAAATGCACATATTATTTTCTGAGTTTGTTGGTACATCTCTACACACATTCTGCATCTTTTTTCATTTATGATAATAAATCTTATCGATTTCTTCATGTTAGTAAAAATAGAGCTTCTGCTTCATTTTAGTGACTGTAGAATATTCCTTTGTAAGTCCTTCTCAAGATTTACTTAACTAATATCTGAGAAGAAGTTTAAGGTTCTTTCCCATCTTTTAGAATTATAACAACGCTGCCACAAATATCCTACTACATATGTCATTTTCAACTTGGATAAATAAATATTAAGGTTTATTCCTAAATGTGGACTTGCTGGATCAATGGTATTTGCATTTGAAATTTTGATATGTATTTGCCTCAGTTTGCATTTCTCACTAGCAAATTGGTGTGACTGCCAATTTCCTGAAACCCTTGCCAACCTAGTGTCCTATCAAAACTGTATTTCTAGACCATCTGTCAGGTGACATAGGTACCTCCTAGTTTTACTTGCATGTCTTTCATAATCAGTAAAGTTAAATGTTTTTATCTCTTCTTATATTTGTACCCATTTAAAAATATGGTGGTTCTTCTCTGCTCCCGGATTCATGGGGACCCGGTAGCTGAGGAAATCATCTCTGTGGCTGTGATACGGATTGCCAGTGTTCACTTCAGCAAACCGTTTGTCTTTTTGCTTTCCTTAAACTGTTGGCATGAATAAATCATTACTTTCTATTACTCTTTATTTTTAAGCTTTTCTTGGATGAAACTACCATGACACACATACTGTAAAGATGAGCCACAACGTTATGCTATTATAACAAATGAAGCCTTTTATAATATATTTACTAAACATTCTCAGCCAATCTGAAAAAAAGTCTGCCTACTTTCTTCACTGGACCATGGAGGGCCCCAGTAATACACCAGCTGCCATACAAAAGAGCTCTATAAATATGGAGGGCCAAAAGTTTTCAGTTTCTTGAATCTCTTGTTTTAGTTGACTTATCTCTTTCCTCATCTTCTCAGATTCCTTTTCAAATCCCTCAGTAAGTAGTTCTTCTTGGATCTGTAAAAAAGGAGAGAGTTCCATCTTGAAAGTCCCACTTATTGGCACTTTGTATTTAACAACTGTAACAGCTAAATACACGTTGTATATCTCTCCTAACTTAGATGCTCTTTGATGTGCTTGTCCAAAATTTCCAAACATGTGGACCTTGTAGTGGGAGTATCCCTGGTTCACACCTTCCTAAGATCCCTCAGCATGATCTTGGGTGTGGGGCGGAGTTGGGCTGGGGCAGCCCTGACAGCTATGCCAAAAATGTGTTCCACCTTTAAGGATGCTGTTTGGGAAGGATGGAGGTTTAAAATTAATTACTTTCAGTTCCAACTAAAATAGGATCACTACACACATGCAACACATAACGGGAACTGCAGACTCTCTAGAGAACACTGGTTATCAAACTCCAGTTGAGATGAAAGATGCATTGTACTCTGGATCTACAGTATAAATCAGGCATATCTGGAAACTAATTCAGCAAATTAAAGAGTTTTCAGCATCCTATATATCATATCAGGTACAACCTGAGGTTTTCAACCAGATGGATCTACATTAAGTCTCTTTGATGGTTTGTAGCAAACATCCTAGGACTACAGGACAAAGGTCCCATTCATGTGGGGGCAAAATGAGACCCTATTATCACTACAAACAGCAGTCTCAGAGCCTGGGGCATATTATTTGTTCTCTGCAAACTCAAATACACAGAAGGTGCTGAGTTCTATAGATTTAGGGCTTTAGAATGATCCAGATTAATTTGACATTTCACTGAATCATATGCTTTTTGATTTTCTTCAGGGTTTATGATTTTAGTTAAAACTTTTGTTCTTCCCTTCATGAGGAACCAGCTTACTTGCCTTTAGCCTTTGCCCAGGCCCCACCCAGACTGACCTTCAACTTGTACTCCAGCATTCTCTCCAGCTCTCTTAGTCGGTTCTCACTTCCTCTCTTCATCTTCTCTTTCAGTTGCACTAAGTTTTCCTGGAAGCTTTTCTCTTGAGCCTCCAATTTTTCCTGCTGTTCCTTCAGTTTCTGCCTTACCAGCTCCTGCTCCTTCTCAGTTTCCCAATTTTTGGCACGCTCAGCTGTTCCCCAAGGATTGTGTAGAGGAAAGAACATAGGTTATGCTGAGTTGTATCCTCTTGATCTAGAGACTAAAATGACTTTAAAATGGTAAGGAGAAATCTCTGTTTCAGAGTGTGATGGAAAGGCATTAATTGGCTGAATAAGCTGCCAGAATCCCCATATTTATTTTTATTTTAGTGGAGTGTTGGTCCGAAAAGACAGGAAGTGCCTGTTTCAGGAAGGTTTTACTCTCACACCTGTTACAGAGCACTGCAAGGACTTCCCCTCCCAAATGTGATCAGAGTCCTTTCCTGTACCTGCCAGATCCTTCTCCCCAGCAGTAAGGGCTTTGTCTGCCTGCAGGATGGATTCCTTTGTTGCAGCCTGTGCCTGCAGGAAGCTTTGGAAGACTTCGTTTGCCTGAAAAACAAAGAAGGAGCAAAGACTCTTGTTCACTAAAACTACACATTTGACTCTAAATTCTTCATCCTTAATTAGAATAAAACCCTCTTTGGCAACCTCTTCCCTGACTCTCCATCATCCTGTCCTAATGCTGGCAGCCACCAGCTACCCACATTACAGACAACCAGCTTTATGTGCAGTTCTACAAACGCTCCTCCTCCTGTGTTTGCAGTGCCTGAGCATTCTTTGTCTTCTGACTAGATGCCCCCTACCCTTCATTTATTCAGATATAATTTACTGATACCTGAACTTGTAGCTTCTACTTCCTCTTCAATAAACTTTTGCTAAACATCCTTCTGAGAATTGAATGGAAGTTCAGTACACAGACCTGACCTACCACCTCTACCACTTGTTGGCTGTGTGTTTTCAGGTATCTTGTTAGCTTCTCAGTGCATCACATTTCTCAGTTGTATAATAGAGACCAGAAGAGCACCTAAATTCACGTGATTCTAAGGTTTAAATTGGTAATCTAAAGACAGCACCTAAGATGATACCTGTAATAGAAAGTGAGTGCTCCATATATGTTACCCATCACTGTTATTATTATTATCATCTTCATCATCACTATCAGTGTATGATAACCATACCCCATCATGTCTAATCAACTATTTATATCTTTTTTTCAGTAAGATCATAAGCTTTTTAAGAATGTTGTTTCTTTAATTATTATTTCCTATACTTAGCACAGACACTATTACACTGTTTGTTAAATAAAACCAATGCTTCCTTTCATCTAGATTTCTGATAATAAATCTTATACTTGAGAAAAAAAATATTGCTGGTTTATTTAAAAGTATCTAATTAATTGTGGATATAAAAGCTAAAAATGCAGGGCTTGCCAGGTTCTGCTTTCTCTCCACAAATGGTGCAGTGTGTTCTTAGAGTTTCAAAAGAAACAACAAAGATTCTGACCCTGATCTACTATTCTTCCCCCCTCTTTTTTTTTAATCCTCACGTGAGGACATTTTTTCATTGTTTTTATTTTTTAAATACATTTTATTGATTATGCTATTACAGTTGTCCCATTCTTTTTTCTCCCCTTTATCCCCCTCCTCCTGGTAGCCCCATTCCACCCAGCATTCCCCCCCTGAGTTCATGTCCATGCGTCATGCAGATAAGTTCTTTAGCTTCTCCACTTCCTATACTATTCTTAACCTCCCTCTATTTTGTACCTACGAATTATGCTTCTTATTCCCCGTATCTTGTCCTCCATTTTCCCCCTCCACCTCCCCACTGATATACCTCCATGTGAACTCCATTTCTGTGAAACTGTTCCTGTTTTAGTTGTTTGCTTTGTTTTTGTTTTTGTTTTTAGGTTCAGTTGTTGCTACTTGCGAGTTTGTTGTCATTTTACTATTCATAGTTTTGATCTTCTTTTTGTTAGACAAGTCCCTTTACCATGTCATAAAATAAGGGCTTGGCGATGATGAAGAACTTTAACTTGACCTTATCTGGGAAGCACTTTATCTGCCCTTACATTCTCAATGATTGCTTTGCTGGATGGAGTAATCTTGAATGTAGGTCCTTCCTTTTCATGACTTTGAATACTTCTTTCCAGCTCCTTTTTTCCTGTAACATTTCTTTTGAGAAATAAGCTGATAGTCTTGTGAGAACTCCTCTGTAGGTAACTCTCTCCTTTTCTCTTGCTGCTTTAAGATTGTCTCCTTATCTTTAATCTGGGGTAATTTAATAATGATGTGTCTTGGTGTGTTCCTCCTTGGGCCCGATTTCCCAGGACTCTCTGAGCTTCCTGGACTTCCTAGAAGTCTATTTCCTTCACCAGACTGGAGGAGTTTTCTTTCATTATTTTTTCAAATAAGTTTTCAATTTCTTGCTCTTCCTCTTCTCCTCTGGCGCCCCTGATTCCAGTTGGGACATTTAAAGTTGTCCCAGACATTCTCAAGCCTCTTCATTTTTTGGAATTCTTGTTTCTTCATTCTGTTCCAGTTGAATGTTTATTTCTTCCTTCTGTTCCAATTTGTTGATTTGAGTCCCGGTTTCTTTCTCTTCACCGTTGGTCCCCTGTATATTTTTATTTCACGTCCAATAGCCTTCACTTTTCCCTCTATTTTGCAGCCATACTCAATCATATCTGTGTGCGTACTGATTACCAGTGTTTTAAACTCTGCATCTGATGGGTTGACTATCTTCTCATTGCTTAGTTCTTTTTCTGGATTTTTGATGTGTTCTTTCATTTGAGCCATATTTCTTTGTCTCAGTGCACTTTTTACATTGTAAGGGGCAGAGCCTTATGTATTCATTCGCCAGGGTGGAACAACCGATTTTGCTGCGTTGTGTCACTGTATGTGGAAGAGGAGTCAGAGAGTGAACAATGCCACTTGCTTGTCTCTCACCCTGCTTTCAGGAGGCTGGCTGTTTCTCCCATAGCCACAACCCCCATAGGTTTCTATAGCCAAAGGTTCTGAGGCTTTATTTTCTCTGTGCTGGAACCCTAAGTTGTGTGGTCTGTCTTGCTCCTAAGTTGTTCCTCCTAGTTTATCTGCATGTGAGTGTGGGCTACCTGATCTACCAGCTGCCACCTTGCTGATCCAGTCCCCTAGCTGCCACCTGCTGTGCATTCTTTTGGCCCTGGCTGCCCATTTCTGCCCCTTCTACCAATCTGGATGAATGTTTCTTTAAATGCTTGGTTGTCAGACTTCCATACAGTTCAATTTTATGGCAGTTCTGGTTGTTTTTTGTTTTTAAATTGGTTTCCTTCTTTTGGCTATATGAGGAGGTGAAGCATATCTACATATGCCTCCATCTTGCTTGAATTCTCCATTTTTTTCATTGCTTTTAAAGAGGGAGGAAAGGAGTAAGAGAGAGAAAAACATCGATGTGAGAGGGAAACAACAACAGGCTGTCTTCTTGCCTGTGCCCCTCCATGGTCAAACCCAAACCCTTGGCATGTGCCTTGACTGGGAATTGAACCCATGATCTTTCAGGCTACAGATCTTTCAATTCGCCAACCAACTGTGTCACACCAGCCAACCCCCTTTTTTTTTTACCCTCACCTTAGTTCCTTTCCTGGGCACCAGATTATAGGATTGTTCAATGTTGTCCATTGTTTCTAAGTAGAGATTGTATCCTCCAGGCACAGAGAAAGTTCCTCTTGAAATACTTTCCATTAAGGGCTCTGAAAGCTGCTTTAGCTGAGCCTGGCAATATTTACCAGATGCCTCTTCATTCTGAAGGAAGAAATCTTCCTTCCTCATCTCTATGGTTTCCTGCCAGATAAATGAGGAGAAACCAAAAGAAAGAGGCTGTTAGAAGAAAAGGTCCAACTGTGATCCTCTTGGAAGAAGCAGTCTGACTTGTGGTCAAGATGGTAAAGTAGGTAAATGCTGTGCTTGCCTCTTCCAAGGACTACATCAGATTTACAATTAAATTATAGAAAAACCATCAGTGAGAACCATCTGTAGACTAGCTGAACAGAAGTACTACAGGTAATGACAGAAAAAAAAAGCCACAAATAGACTGGTAGAAGGGGCAGAAATGTGGAACAGTCAGGTCCTACATCTATAGTATGGTAATTAAGAATAGAGAAGGGTATCTCAGCTACTGAGTCCCCCACCCCGTGGAATTATAGGTCCCAGCATTGTCTGCCAAAGAACAAACTTCCTAGAAGAGAATTTTCCCCAATGTCTGTGAAAAACTGAAGGGACTGAGTGAATGAGGAGGGCTGCTGGATGCTGTGTTCCTCTGGAGAGGCCTGGGTAAGGACTTGCTCACAAACTTACTTTCTCTAACCTCACTTGGGCAGCAGCTTGAAAGGCTGTAGGAATATACAGGGAGTGACTTAATTGATATTTTCAGGGCTAGGGTGGAGAAGCAGAGGTCAGAGTGGCTCTTTCTGGGATGAGAAGTGGGGGCAGGTGCCATTGCTCTTTTGATGAGCGCTTCCTTCCCACCCCAGCCAGCAGGCACATGTGGGCAACCAATTTGAGTTCTCCAATAACCTAACACAGTTTATACTATGCTGGTAATTCCTTGATACACTACCACAACCAGTTTGTATCTGGACTGATTGCTTCCATCAGGTCTTCCATACAAGCAGCTTGCCTCAGCTCACACTGTACAGTTTTATAAAATCTCTGAAAGGCCTAGAAACCTCCAAAAACCAGTGGCTTGACTTGGCATGCCTTGTACCTCTTGCTAAGCAGCTCCAAATCCAGCATAAGCAGAGTTTGGTCTCAAATTGAATGTAAGTCCCATTAGGTGCCACCAAGTCTGGTGTATGCTGTGGCCACTGATGGTTTAAATGTTAGCTTCAACTAAGCATCCATAAGCCCAGGAAACTGGTGGCAGGCCCTAATTCACATCATGGTACCCATCAAAGGATTCCAAGCCCAACACTATTGGCAGGTGACTTATTCACAGAATCTCCAAGCTCATATAAGTGACAACCAATTGCAGATAATTCTGTAATTTCCACCAGGAGACCCCAAACCAGGTACTAATGGCAATTGACCTTGGCCTGCATTGGAACTTCTCCTAAGAGACTTCATAAGCAACACGCCTTGTAGGCAGCTTCAGAACACACCAGAGCACCACCCAATTGGCTCCAAAAAAGACACATCTGAAGGTCAGGTTTGGCTGGCGCCAGAGCCCTGCTAGAGAGACTCCTGTGCTGTGAGATCAGTGCTCACACAACAGCTCATCTGTAATTACGGGCAGCCCTTTCAGCCAGTCAGCGTGAAGGTCCATTCCACCCACTGATGTGCCAATAGCAATCAAGTCTCAACTTCAAAAGAAAGGCACATATAACCCTCAAGGGACATCCCTGGAGCAGCCAACTAAGGTGACCAGGAAGACTGCATCACTGGACCCTACTGGACACCTACTACATGAGGCCACTGTGCCAACACTGGAAGATGTAGCAGATCTACTTCATATATAGAAACAAATACAGAGAATCAGCATGAAGAGACAAATGAACATATCCCAAAAGAAAGAAAAAGATCTAAATGAAATAGAGACAAGCAATCTACCAGATGCAGCATTCAAAACACTGTCTATAAGGATGCTTAATGAACTCAAGGGAGGAATAAATGAACTCACTGAGAAATTACACAAAGAAATAGAAAACATAAAAACAAGGATAGAAAACATAAAAAGAACCAATGGAAAATGAAAAATACAGTAACTGAAATGAAGAATACATGAAAGAGAATCAAAAGTCAATTAGATTAAGCAGAGGATCAGATCACTGATCTGGAACACAAGGTAGGAGAAAACTCCCAATCTGAACAACAAAAAAAAGCATTACAAAAATGAAGATAGTTTAAGGGGCCTCAGAGAAAATATCAAGCATACCAATATCTGCACAATGAGAGTATCAGTAGGAAAAGAGAGAGAGCAAGGGATTAAAAACCTATTTAAAGAAATAATGACTGAAAAGTCCCTTGGCCTGGTGAAGGAAATAGACATACAAGTCCAGGAAGGGCAGAGAGTCTCAAACAATATGAACCAAAATAGATGTGTGCCAAGATATAGCATAATTATATGCTATATAAATTATTATATATAAAATGCCCAAGGTAAGAGATAAAGAGAAAATTTTAAAGCAACCAGAGAAAAGCAGTTAGTTACATGCAAAGGGGCTCCATAAGACTGTCAGCTGATTTATCAACAGAAACTGGAGGCCAGAAACAATTAGCATGAAATAGTCACAGTGGTGAAAAGCAGATACCTAAACAAAGATTACTCTACCCAGCAATATTTCATTTAGAACTGAACAAGATAGAGTTTTACTGACAAGAAAATGCTAAAGGAGTTCATCATCACTAAAGCAGTATTACAAAAATTGTTAAAGGGACTTCTTTAACTAGAAAAGAGTAAATTAAAAATAAATATGAATAAGGAAATATAGGAGAGAAAATAATTCTCACTGGCAAGAACAAACACTTATTAAAAGCAGTACTTCCACTAAATAGAAAGCTAGTACAAAGGTTAAAAGGCAAAAGTAGGAAGATTATGTGTTTGGGAATGTGTTCAAAGTTAAGCAACTCAACTGAAAGTAGACTGGTATGAACATAGTTTGGTGTATATGAAGCACATGGTAACCACAAACCAAAAATCTACAAGAGATATACAAGAATTAAAGAGACAGGAATGCAAACACAACACTATAGAAAACTATTAAGAGATAAGAGGGAAAAAGAATAATAAAGAAACAGAAAATAACTACAAACACAATTAGTAAACAATAAAATGGCAATAACTATATGCTTATCAATAATTACTTTAAATGTAAACATGTAAACAGACTACATGCGCCAATCAAAAATCAAAAAGCAGTGAATGGATAAAAAGACAACACTTGTACATATCCTGCCTACAAGAGACCCACTTCAGATAGAAATACACATATGAACTGAAAACCAAGGGATGGAAAAAGATACTTCATGCAAACGAGATTTAAAAAAACTGCAGTAGGAATATTTATATTAGACAAAATAGACTTAAAACACAGGCTGTAACAAGAGAAAGTAGGTCATTTAATAATGATAAAGGATCAATCAAGCAAGAGGATATAAATCATAAACATCTATGCACCTAAAGTAGGGGAATCTAAGTACATAAAGCAAATATTAATAGACATAAAGGGAGACATTGGCAGTATACAGTTATAGGAGGGGACTTTCACATGCCATTGACATCAAAGGAAGATATCCAGATAGAAAATAAGCAAGGAAACAATGGCTTTGAGTAACACAAGCCAGGTGGACTAAATTGATGTATTTAGGACACTTCTCTTAAAGAAGACCGAATTCATTCCAAGCACCTTCTCTGATCACGATGGTGTGCAACTAGAAGTGAATTACAAGAAGAAAACTGAAAAACACACAAATACCTGGAGGCCAAATAACATGCTTCTAAACAGTGAAAGTGTTAACAATGAAATCAAAGGAAAACAAATTAAAAGATATCTTGAGACAAATGGAAACAAAAACACAAGTACCTCAAATCTACGAAATACAGACAATGGAGTTCTAAGAGGGAAATTTATAGGAATAAATGCCTACCTCAAGACACAAGAAAAATCTCAAATAAACAAACTATCATCACACTAAAGAAACTAGGAAAAGAACAACAAACAGAGTCCAAAGTGAGTGGAAGAAAGGAAATAAAAAAGATCAAACTGGAAATAGATGAGAGTCTAAAAACCAATAGAAAAGATCAGTGAAACCAAGAGCTGATTCTTTGAAAAGATATACAGAATTGATAAATCTTTAACCAGATTCATTAAAAAAAGAAAAGAGAGGACCCAAGTAAATAAAATAAAAAATGAAAGCAAAGAAGTGACAACTGACACAACAAAAATACACAAGATCATAATAAGCAAATATTATGAATAATTATATGCTAATAATTTGGACAATCTTGAATAAATTCCTAGAAACATAAAATTTTCCAAAGCTGAATCAGGAAAAAATAGAAAATCTGAAAAGATTAATAATTACTAATAAAATTTAATCAATAATCAAAACACTCATAATAAACAAAAGCCCTGGACCAGATGACTTCAGAGGTGAATTTAACCAACATTCAAGAAGCATTAATACCTTTCCTTCTTAAATCATTCCAAAAAAATTGAAGAGGAGTGAAGACACCCAAACACATTTTAAGAGGCCAGTGTCACCCTAATACCAAAACCAAAGAAAATAACTACAAAAATAGAAAATTATAGACCAATATCCCTGATGAACATAGATGCAAAAATCCTCAACACCTATTAGCAAACCAAATTTAGCAATACATTAAAAAATTTATACACCATGATCAAGTGGGATTTATTCCTGGATGCAAGGTTGGTTCAATATTAGCAAATCAATTAATGTGATACACTACATAAACAAAATGAAGGATGAAAACCATATGATCATATTAATGAAGAAAAAGCAACTGAAAATATCCAACATTCATTTATGATAAAAACTCTCAGCAAATTCAGAATAGAGATTACATAACTCAACACAATAAAGAGCATATGTGACAAACCCACAGCTAACATCATACTCAATGGTGAAAAGGGGAAAGCTTTCTTTTTAAGGTAAGGAAAAGACAATCCACTTTTACCACTTTTATTCAACACAGTATTGGAAATCCTAGCCACAGCAATCAGACAAGAAAATGAAATAAAAGGCTTCCAAATTGAAAAGGAAGAAGTAAAACTGTCATTAATTGCAGATAACATGATATTATATGTAGAGAACCCTAAGGATTCCACCAAAAAAACTATAAGACCAATACATGAATTCAGGTAAGTACCAAGATACAAAAGAAATAATCATAAATCAATTGCATTTTTATACATTAATAATGAACTATCTGAAAAAGAAAGTAAGAAAACAACCCCATTTATGATTGTATCACAAAGAATAAAATATCTAGAAATAAATTTAACCAATGAGGTAAAAGACATGTACTTGGAAAACTGTAAGACATTGACAAAAGAAACTGAAGAAGTTACAAACAAATGGAAGGATATACTGTGCTCATAGATCAGAGGAATAAACATCATTAAAATGTCCATAATATCCAAATTAATGCAGTTCCTATAAAAATACAAAAGACATTTTTCAAAAGGCTAAATAACCCTAAAATTTGTATGGAACCATAGAAACCCTGAAGAGGCAAATCAATATTGAGAAAGAACAAAATTACAATTATTATGCTAGTTTATATTGAAGTATACAATGAGCTATAGTAATCAAAACAGCATGGTAATAGCATAAAAACAGACACATAGGTCACTGGAAGAGAATAGAGACCTCTGACATAAACCTCTGCCTGTGTCACCAATTAATCTATGACAAAGGAGAAGGGAATATACAATAGGGTAAAGACAATCTCCTCAATAAATAGTATTGGGAAAAATGGGACAGATACATATAAGAATAAACACAAAGTTGATTATGGACTTAAATCTTATACTTGAAACAATAAAACTAGTAAAAAACGTAGGCAGTAAACTCTTTGACATTACTGTTAGTAATATATATTTCTTGGCTATGTTTCCTCAAGCAAGGGAAAAAAACAGAAAAAAAAATAAAGAAATGAGTCTACATCAAACTAAAATGTTTTTGCAGAGTGAAGGAAACCATCAACAAAACAAAAAGACAACCTACTGAGTGGGGAAAGATATTTGCCAATGGTACATCTGATAAGGGGTTAATATCCAAAGAGTATAAGGAACTCATTCAGATTCATGCGCGCGCGCGCGCGCACACACACACACACACACACACACACACACACATCCAATTAATAAATGGGCAGACAGAGGACCTGAATTGGTACTCCAAAGAGGACATACAGAGAGCCAAATGAGATGTTCAACATCAATAACCATCAAGGAAATTCAAATGAGAACCACAATGAGATATCACCTCACACCTGTTAGAATGGCTATCATCAATAAATCAACAAAGTGTTTGTGATGATGTGGAGAAACAGGATTCATCATGCACTGTTGGTGGGATTTTAAGTTTGGGCACCCACCATGGAAAACAATAAGATTTTTAAAATTTAAAATAGAACTACTGTATGACCCAGCAATTCCACTGCTGGATATTTATCTGAAGCAATCCAAAACACTAATTTGAAAAGGCATATGAACCTACCTGTTATTGCCACATTATTTACAATAGCTTGGATACGAAAGCAACTCTAATGTCCATCAATAGACAATTTGTAAAGAAGTGGTACACCTATACAATGGAATATTACTTGGCCATATAAAAGAATGACATCTTGGAATTTATGACAACATGGATGGATTTTGAGGGTATTATACGAAATGAAATAAGTCAAAGACAAATACCATATGATTTCACTTATATGTGGAATCTAAAAAACAGACTAAATATAACAAAATGGAAACAAACTGATGGATACAGAGAACAGATTGATGGTTGCCAGATGGGAGGCAGTTTGGAGGAATGGGTGAAAAGGGGGAAGGAATTAAGAAGTACAAATTACCAGTTATAAAAACAGTCATGGGGATGTAAATTACAGCATAAGGAACATACTCAATTATATGTTAATAACTTTGTCTTGTGTTAGATGGGTACTGGACTTACTGGGGTGATCACTCTATAAGTTATATAAATACCTAATCACTATGTTGTATGCCTGAAACTGGTATAATGTTGTATGTCAGTTATAATTGAAAAAAAGTAAAAAATAAAAGAAGCAGTCTTATGGCATCAGGGTGGACTGGGAATTGGAATGACCAGGCATCACTTTGACTCTTCCTCGCTTTTGCTCAGGCTCAACACCTGTGAAATGATGGGGCTGGTTGACATGAACTCCATGATGTCCCCCACAATTGGTTTATAATTGAAATATAACATTGTAATAGCTTCAGGTATACAACTTAATGAACTGATATTTCTAAATATGCGAGATGATCACCACAGTAAGTCTAGTAACATCCCTCTCCTTGTATAGTTACAAATCTTTATTTTTCTTTTGATGAGTTGTAAATTTTATTCTCTAGCAGCTTTCAAATATGCAATCCAATATTATGCATGGTTTCTTTATCAGTAGTTGGATTAATCAACAATGAGCAATGGAAAGTTCAATATGACTTTCCTTTGTAAACTTGGGTTGCTATGGATAAAAATATTTACATAGCAAATCACTTGCCCACTAATGAGTTGTGGTCTCTGAACAGAGTTACAAAGCATCATGAATCTTTTTTCAATGAGGGTTTGATTGTGCAAAAATATAGAAACCAAATTTATTTGCTGTATTCATACATTTTAATGAAGATAATTTTCTTCTGTATGATGTGAGAAATTTTTGTAACCTGCAAGGTAGACAAAGATAGACTCAAAGACAAAATTTCAGTGAAGGTGCCGTAGTAAGTAGAATTATGATGTCTTTTAAGAGTTCTCTTCCCTGGTGACCACTCTTAGAACATAGTCCTTGTGCCTGTGGATATGATGAATATTAATCCTATGATGAGATTATGTTACACAGCTCACTTGACTTCAGGGTGGACATTTCCAGGTGAGCATCACCTCACTATATGAACCCTTTAAAAGAAGATTTCTCCAGTTAATGACAGAAGTATTCAGAGAGAAACAATACAAGGATCTGCTGCACCATTGCTGACTTGAAGATGGAGGGGAGTTTCCCAGAACCTTCATTTGATAATACAAGCCTATGTGAACCTTGTTTTCAGCTTGAGGTACACTGGGCAGGGTACCTGTATCATGTTCTGGAATATGACCTGAAGAACTGTGAGCTAATAAATACGTGTTGTTTTAAGCTGCTAAGTGCATGCTATTTTGTTTTGCAACAATAGAAAGTAAAAAACTGGATTTTTTTTTTTTAGAAAAAGCAGGGGGCTGTAGCCTATAGAGCCCTTTCACTCGGAAGAATCCATGCTCATCTACAGTGAGAAACACATGAGCTATGGAGTCACAAAAAGGGAATCTAGGCATCACTTTAGAAAGACAGTTTTCAGGAAGGATGTAGGCTAAGACATGTTACCATAAGCTTTTTCTGGAACACCTGATTGTCATCCTTGAAGGAGTTCTCCATGAACACTTTAATGGCTTCCCTCTCACAGGCCGCGTGCAGGTCCAGCAGCTCCTGGAGCGTGTCTGTGGGGAGCCTCACTTGCTGGGCCATCTGCTGGCTGTAGTGGTCGGCTGCCTTCTGCAGGGCCGCTGAGTTCTCAAGCTGGGCCAGGGCTGCCACTGCGTTCTCCAAACAAGGCACCACTCCACTGTTGATGGTGTCCACATAGGCCTTTGCCAGAGTCCCCAGCCCTGAATGACACATGATATTTAGGAAATGAACAGGAACTTGTCACTTGTTGTTTTACAAGATTTAGAGAACAGCATTTTAAAAATCACAATTGTATTGAACTTAAGTTTTCTGTTTTCTCTTTCTTCTTCTTCTCATGTTCCTCTTTTTCCCCTCCTTGACTCATCTTCCTTTTTCTTTTATGTGTTCACTTTCTAATAACTTTATTATATATTCTATTCATTCTATATTGATTTATGAATTCATTGCATTATAATATTAAAATAATAATTTCAACAAATATGTTCAAGGATTTCTTAGAATAGTTTTCTCATTGAAATTTTAAAAAGAGTTTATTTATAGGGAAGCAAAGTAGATCATTTGTGGGCACTATTCCAAAATAAATGTGGGACCCCTTTAAAAAAATCATCAAGAATTTCAGGACAGTTACAAAAGCATTAAATCAAGTGTGGGCACATCTCAGTACAGGGCACTGTGTGTACCCAGGTGGCATATTCATGAACTTAGCCCTGTACATAAGGCTGTGGTTAAATTTGCTTCTCAAATTCTAATGAACTTTCAGAGGCTCATGTTTTGTTATATATTTTCTAAATGGTGTAAATTCACAAAATATCTAGTGTATCCTACCAAGACACACTGAATTCATAGTCTTCTTATCATCATGCCAATTCCTATCCTTAACAGTAGCTTGTGCTTATGTCACTAGTGTACTAGTTTCATGAGATACATCCTTCATACAGGGGAACTTGAATGAAAAAACATGCATGTCTATGTATGGTGTGAATCTCTGCTTTTTCCACATCACATAGGGAAGGAAACAAAATTACCAGCAAACCCCGAGTGCAATCACATTGAAGTACAGAAAGATATGCTGTAACAAATAAGACTCACCATTCCCAGTGACAATGATTTCCTGTCTTATGGTTTTGGTTTTTGCATGTGTGAAGATATATTGACAGAAATTTTTGGATTGCTCTTGGAAATTCAAATCTAGTTGGTTTTCTGGCATGTCTTCCATATGCTGCAATAATTTTTTGTCATTTGTAGGCCGGTCAAGGACAAAGCAATTCCTCCTTGGAAAGAACTTTCTGATAAATCCTCTAGGCAAGTTGGCTTTTTGGATTTGAGGATCCTCACCTGTAGAAAGAAAAAGATCAATCATTGATGAGACAGTCGTCAAGTAAGGAGATTGAAGACTTTCGGTTCCAGGGATCTTTACATCATTTTAACACTAGTGCCTGTTAAGTCTCCTTTTATTTACTCATGCAAAGCCCTTAAAGCTAACCTACCCAAAGCAGAGAAATTTTACTAATTTATTTTTGTCCAAGACCAGGAGCAAAGGAAGTACTTCTGGAGAAGAAGTGGGGGTGTCCATCCCATGTGAAAAATCTTATGATTGTTTTCCTTAGCTCTTCCATTGTGTTCTGTGGCTTGCTTATTTATTAAATTTTTATTGAATAATAGATTAATCTCCAAAACTGACAGAAATACTTTTGATATTACTATGTTCATATCAAAAATAACGTGTGGTATCCCATGTGAGAGTAAGTTATTTCCTGGTAGAAATAAGGGTATTTATAATACTTCGGGGGAAAATATCATGTTAGAGAAAGACAATACAATGAACAGTAAAGAAAAACTTCTAAATATCAGATAAAAAATAAACACAATATAAATATGTTCAGAGAATTATTTTTTCACAGACACCATCAAAACAAGGCTAACCTTATGCCACTTGGAGACCTTTTTACCTGCTCTCTATACCAGATTATATTGAATGTGACAGTGTTACACAGAGGAATTCAGTGTTACAAAGAGGAACATATGTTAGCTCTTCAATAAATGATTCTTGTATGAATAAATAAAGGATTAAATAATCAAAAATAAATATGTTTCTAGGTACCACCCATTATCCTCTCTGCTAAATGTACTCTGTATAATAAATTTATTATATCAACATCGTAACATATTGTATGAGGATATAGACTGAATAAAGTTATGAAAAACAGATAATAAATGATTTAATAGTCTTACTGGAATGATACATCAATGATTTTTAAAAAACATTTAGTGTATAAATATCCTTTATATGAAGGAGATATACCTATGCAGACTAATAATGTAGACTATAAAAATAAATTTCAAAAACAGTTATTTGATATCCGTGTGAGTTTGTGTTTACCATCTTTCACACTAATGGGTATTTTTCTCAGAGTAGAAATAGAGAAGCTCTGAACTTAATAGTAACACAAGTCTTTGAGCATTGGGATGTTTGAGCAGTTTTGTAATCCTAATTTTTTTCATGTCAATTTTTAAAAATCATTTGGTCTAATATTGGATACTACATTTTCTCAGCCAACTTAAATTCTGGTCACTGGAGTTTTTTCAATAATAAAAATAAGTGAAATCATACCAACCTGTTACACATATATCATCATTAGCAAGGGCCTCAATGTGATCAAAAATAAAGACTGACCTTCTGTGCTGAATCACAAGGCTCAGTTGATCCTACTGAACCTTCCACCACCCAGACCATCCTCTGATACCTGGAATCAACTTCAAGGCATTCTGCAGGTATTCATCTTCAGTGATGGGGAGTCCATCCATCTCCAGCTGCAGCATGAAATCACGTACAGCCCAGATAAGATCTGGAAAGAAACTCATAAACTCGGCTGAGTCATCTTCTTCACCAGAGCTGGGAGAGGATTTTGTCCTGATTAGCTGTGTTAATTCAGTCACATAGCTGGGCTCTAGCTAAGGAATGAGAAATACTTTACACCACAATTTCCAGATCTTACTCAGAAACAATGTTTATAAACATTCTTGCTCACCCTGTGTCCCTTTCTTCTGAACAATGATTACTAACACAAGGAAAAAACTAACAACAAGATCGTCTCAGTTATATTCCCACAGACTCCAAGACACATGGATGTGTGGCCCCCGGAAGGATACTGCAGCTGCTCCAGGGCCTGGTTGTTGATGGTGCCCATGCTGTTGTAGACGAACATGCTGCTCAGAAGCACGGCCAGGGCGAAGATCCACGAGTCATTCTTTTGGTTCCCCTAGAAAATGCATTGCAGCAGACATCTTAGGTATCTACTATTTTTGTTTGTTTTAAAGTGTTAAATTGAAATGACAACACCTAAAATAAAGAAAGTACCATTTTAATCAAACATTTACTTTATCAAACATCTGCTTTACAAATAGAAGCAGAACAGAAACAGTCATAGACACAAGGAACATTTTGATGGTTGCCAGTTGGGAGGGCAGTTGGAGGATAAGTGAAAACAGTGAAGCCAGTAAGAAGCGCAAATGAGTTGTTAGAGAATAGTCGTGGGGATGTAAAGTACAGCATAGAAAATATAGTTCATAATATTCTAACAACTATGTATGGTGTCTGATGGGTATGAGATTTATGGGAATGATCATAGTTATATAATATCTAATCACTGGGGTGTAAAACGGAAACTGATAAATAACATATGTCAACTATAATTGAAAGTTAAAAATGAGTTCAAAAATATAAGGAAAATGTCAGTTTTTTTCCTATATTGACTATAAAATTAATATGAGAAAAATTCTCAAAGCCAAACTACAAATGATAGCTGTATTCTAAGATGTGAACACAGTGGACAAAAATTTAACTTTATAAATGCACTGATCTTTCTTTCAACAGATACATTTTCCCAACTTGGCTCTCATCTTACAATGTAATCCATCACTAAAATACAAATTACACCTACATTGGCTTGATCTAGACTTATTTAGGTATTAGTCTTTTTCATAAAACAAGCTTGATAAGTACAATGAGTCAATATGAAAATGTGTTTTATGGCTCAAATCATACTACAGTATTGGTTTCTCATCACACATTTAAACACAAAGGAAAACTGAAGCAAGTCCCATTTAATAAGTGATATAAAACAAGTGAAACAATTATGGTTAATGCAACCTATGCTGCAGAAGCTGACTTGTTTCACAGTCAGAAAACACTGAGCCTTCTCTGGCCGTGTCGTGTACGAAAGTGCACCCTCTCTGAAACAGTCTTAGTAATGGGCACACAGTATCCCAAACCCCATGAATTAGACAAAATATTACATTTGAGGAACTCCAAGGTGGAAAAGCTACTCAAAGCATTTCATCTCAAGTGACTGAGCAGGTAGTTAAAAAATAAATTCATTGAAAACCTGGGAGTATAAGAGTCACATCATTTCAGAAAGGGAATTGTAAACTGACTGCTTGCTGGCCTGCTGAACCTAAGGGGACTCTACTTTTCATTTCTAACCAGGCACAGAAGAAAAAAAGAGACTGGCTAATTTGGTTGTTGTATCCAAATAAAGCGCTAACTTATTGAAACCACTAAATATCCAAAGTAACAACTGAACCACACATGCCAGTTACAAGCTAAGACAATGATAACAATTCAGATCTGCTGTTAAAAGTAAAGATTCATATACAGAATTATCATAATGCCATTTTAAGTATTATCTACTTTTAAAAAAATCACACATCTTCATCACTTAGGAAGAAATTTCCCTTTTCTTCAAAGGGATGTTGATGTTAAATATGATTGAAAACATTTGAGTAGAACCGTTTTTCATTTTTCCTCAATCTACTAAATATTCTCCAGTGCCATTTAGTAGTTTTATATAAGATATGCACTATTTGGGTTACTTTAGGAAAATAAAATGGCAAATACTGAAGTTATACAAGATCGAAGAGGGCTCTCATTTTTAAGCAAACCTGGAACACAGAAGGCAGTCAGCAATATGTCAGTTAAGAGCTCATTTATTCAGTAAAGTATTCAGTATTTAGTATGTAGAGAATTGGAATGTACCACTGAAGACTGTTAGTTCTTGAAGAACTATGATAAACACTTTTTTATCAAAAGACTTAGTGTTAAGAATGTTTTTGTACCCACTTCTAATGTGGTAGGAATACATCAGATTTGAATTTCCCTAGGTCTACTCTTTGTTTCAAGAAATCAGAATAATTGCTTTTTTTACTGTGATTGTTTGCAGATGGCATGATAGTGTACACAGAAAGTCCCATAGACTCCACCAAAAACCTACTTGACCTAATGAATGAATTTGGCAAAACAGTGGGATACAAAGTCAATATCCAGAAATAAAAGGCATTTTTGTACACCAATAATGAAATGTCAGAATCAGAAATCATGAAAAAAATCCCATTTGCTATAGCAACAAGAAAAATAAAGTACCTAGAAAAAAAACTTAACCAAGGAGGTAAAAGATGTATACTCAGAAAACTACACAACCCTGAAGAAATAAATTAAGGAAGACACAAATAAATGGAAGCATATACCGTGCTCATGGATTAGAAGAATTAACATCATCAAAATGTCCATACTACCCAAAGCAATTTATAGATCCAATGCAATCTCTATTAAAATACCAATGATGTATTTCACAGATATAGAACAAACATTCCAGAAATTTATATGGAACCATAAACGACCCTGAATAGCTGCAGCAATTTTGAGAAAGAAAAACAAAGAAGGAGGGATCACAATACCTGACATCAAACTGTATTACAAGGCCACCGTAATCAAAACAGATCATAAGGACAGACACATAGATCAATGGAACAGAATAGAAAGCCCAGAAATAAAACCATGACACTCTGGTCAATTAATATTCAACAAAGGGGGCAGAAGCATAAAATTGAATAAAAATAGCTTCTTCAACAAATGGTGTCAAGAGAGCTGGACAGCTACATGCAAAAAATTGAAATTTGACCATCAACTTACACCATACACACAAAAAAACCCTTAAAATGGATAAAATACTTAAATATACATCACAACACCATAAAAGTCCTAGAGGAGAACATAGGACAATCTCAGATACTCCATGCAGCAATATTTTCACTGATATGTACCCTAGAGCAAGGGACATAAAGGAAAGAATAAACAAATAAGGCTTCATTAACATAAGAAGCTTCTGCACGACCAAAGAAAACATCATCAAAATGAAAAGGAAACCAACCATATGAGAAAATATATTTGCCAATGATTCCTTGGACAAGGGTTTGATCTCCAAAATATATAAAGAACTCACATGACTCCACTCCAGGAAGACAAACAATCCATTAAAAAATAGGCAAAGGACCTGAACAGACACTTCTCCAAAAAGGACATACACAAGGCCCGGAGGCATATGAAGGGATGCTCATCATCACTAGCCATCAGAGAAATGCAAATTAAAACTATAGTGAGATATTACCTCACACTGGTTAGAATGGCCATCATAAACAAATCAACAAACAAGTGCTGGCGAGGTTGTAGAGAAAGGGAAGCCTAGTACACTGTTGGTGGGAATGCAGACTGGTGCAGCCACTTTGGAAAACAGTTTGGAATTTCCTCAAAAAGCTAAAAATGGAACTTCCTTTTGACCCAGCAATCCCATTGCTGGGATTATACCCTAAGAATCCTGAAACACCAATTCAAAAGAACCTATGCACCCCAATGTTCATAGCAGTATAATTTACAATAGCCAAGTGCTAGGAGCAACCTAAGTGCCCATCAGTAAATGAGTGGATCAAAAAATTACGGTACATTCACACAATGGAATACTGCACAGCAGAAAGAGCTACTATCCTTCTTGACAGCATGGATGGAACTGGAGAACATTATGCTAGAAGAAATAAACCAGGGGGTAAAAGACAAATACCATATGATCTCACCTATAAGTGGAACCTAATCAACAAAACAAACAAGCAAGAAAAATATAACCAGCAACATTGAAGGAAAAAACAAACCGACAGTAATGAGAGGAAAGGAGGGAGGAAGGTAATGGGGGAAAGAAGGGGAAGTGTCAAATCAAGGAACATGTATAAAGGACCCATGGACAAAGCCAAAATGAGGAAGGATAGAGGGTGGGAGGGGCAAAGGAAAGTGGTGGTGGGCAAATGGAGACAAATATATTTGAACAATTAAAAAAAGAGTAATAACTTAAAAAAAAGAAAACAGAACAAGATACAACTATACGTGACTAGTTCAAACACAGTTTTAAAATACACAGTTGGGTTTGTGTATTATGAATTTTACACTCAAAATCATTTCTCTTCCATTCCAAGGTTAGTAACCCAGCCAGCTTAAATCAAATGTTTTTCTCACCGAGGCCACAGTGTATGGATGACTGATTGAAGTACTATTTTAATGGGAAGAAGTGATCAAGAAAAAATTTCTAGGTCAAAGCTTCAGTTGTACAGGACATGAGTGGCCTTGAATCAGATCACTCTTCAACTCTAGAACTCCTTTACTAACAGCAGTTTATAAATCACACTAGGAAAATGTCCACCTCTTTCCACACACCCAAAATGGCAAGAGCTAACATGTTTGAAATGTGGTCATTGTAACTTTTCACTTGGAAGGCAGAAGCAGCCTGGAAGGTGGGCTGGGTCAAGCTATCTCCATCTCTGTCTTCCCCAATCTTTTAGACTGAGCTAATCAGTGAGCTCACCAATAAAACTGTATAAATTAGAAATATACTAATGCAAACTAGAGGGGCAGGACTGTTAGCCTTGAGGGAAGAGGACTAGCCACAGAACTAGTGTCTTTTTCAAAGGATATCCACAGAGCTGGTTGGTCATTTTTGATCCTGGAGACTGGTGCTCACCTTTGTGAGGGTGGGTTACCATCCCTACTTGATACCTCACCATGTGAAGGTTTGACAGACCTAAACTAAACTTGAATGTTTATGAATACAATTTTCCAGCCACTCTTGGTCTCTTTTTCCCAAATCTAAATAGGGAAAAATACATGAAACGTTTCAGATCACCCAATACTCAGGGCATAAACCCCGTGATCAGTACTATAAAGATGTAAGAACTAATTGAAAGTTCACTTCTATTTATCTACTAAAAACTTAGCCACACCAGCCTCTTTTATTTAAGTAGCTGTATTTTACAAGATTTCCTTTACCTTAAGCCTACAGTCAACAAGTCTATAATACGGCAAACACAATATACTGTGACCATTAAGCAATGACAGAGCCAGCAAACACCTGTGCCCTAAGGTTCTTTCATTAGTTTTCCAAAT